ACGAGGATGAGGAGGAGGAACAGGAGGAGGAGGAGGAGGCGGGGGATCGTGAGGAAGGGCATGGGGGTGCGGAGGGGGAGGGGGAGCAGGAGGATGAGGAGGAGGAGCAGGAGCAGGAGAAGGGAGGGGGCGGAGGAACAGGAGGAGGAGGAGGAGGAGGGCGCTTTGCTCGAAGGTCCTTGACGCGAGCAGAACGTTTGTTCCGACGGAGGATGTCCAGACAACATATGTATATATATACATATATATATATATATAATACGCCCCCCCCCCCCCCCCCAGCACCCCCAAACCACCAAAACCACAAATCTTCACTGATCGTTTCTCTTCGTCGCTCTCCTCCTCAGAACCACAAAATCTTCACTGATCGTTTCTCCTCGTCGCTCTCCTCCTCCTCCTCCTCCTCCTCCTCCTCCTCCTCCTCCTTCTCCTCCCCCTCCTCCTCCTCCTCCTCCTCCTCCTCCTCCTCCTCCTTCCCTGCGTCTCCCAAGCCAAGGAAACCTAAAATGCATTGTGTATGGCGCCGTCGGTGCAAGGAAATGTTTTTTTGTTTGTCTGAAAGCAAGGAAACGCTGTGTTTTTGGTTTTTTTTTTTTTTTGGTTTTGCAAGCCCGAATGCCCGCGCTGGCCTCCCTCTCAGCACCCTTCCATGCGCCTCAGACCAAGCAAACCAAACATACACAGTGTTTGGCGCCCTCGGTGCAAGGAAACGCTGTGTGTTTGTTGTTTATGTTTTTTCTTTGGGGTTGAGAATCAAGGAAACCTTTTTTTTGGTTTTGCAAGCTCTAAGGGTGCTGGGAGGGAGGCTGGTGCGAGCGTCGGGGCTTCCAAAACCAAAAAAAACAAAAAAAAAAAAAAAAAAAAAAAAAAAAAAAAAAAAAAAAAAAAAAAACAAGGTTTCCTTGATTCTCAAACCCAAAAAAAACAAAAACAAAACAAAAATACACAGCGGTTCCTTGCACCGAGGGCGCCAAACACTGTGTATGTTTGGTTTTCTTGTTTTGCAACGAGGAAGAGGAAAGGAAAGGGGCTTGCAAAACCAAAAATCTTCACTGATCGTTTCTCCTCGTCGCTCTCCTCCTGAAACCACAAAATCTTCACTGATCGTTTCTCCTCGTCGCTCTCATCCTCCTCCTCCTCCTCCTCCTCCTCTCCTCCTCCCCCTCCTTCTCCTCCCCCTCCTCCTCCTCCTCCTCCTCCTCCTCCTTCCCTGCGTCTCCCAAGCCAAGGAAACCTAAAATGCATTGTGTATGGCGCCGTCGGTGCAGGTTTTTTTTGGTCTGAGAAGCAAGGAAGCGTTTGTATATTTTTCTTTCGGTTTTGCAAGCCCGAATGCCCGCGCTGGTCTCCCTCTCAGCACCCTTCCATGCGCCTCAGACCAAGAAAACCAAACATACACAGTGTTTGGCGCCCTCGGTGCAAGGAAACGCTGTGTTTTTTTGTTTTTATTGTTTTCTTGGATTGAGAATCAAGGAAACCTTGTGTTTTTTTGTTTTGCAAGCTCTAAGGGTGCTGGGAGGGAGGCTGGTGCGAGCCTCGGGGCTTTCAAAACCAAAAAAAACAAACAAAAACAACAATACACAAGGTTTCCTTGATTCTCAAACCCAAAAAAAAACAAACAAAACAAACATACACAGCGTTTCCTTGCACCGAGGGCGCCAAACACTGTGTATGTTTGGTTTTCTTGTTTTGCAACAAGGAAGAGGAAAGGAAACGGGCTTGCAAAACCAAAAAAGATGAGGAGAGGAGGACGATGAGAAGGACGACGGAGATGAGGAGGATGCACCCCCCCCTCCCCAGTCCGTCGTTTGGGGGTGCTGGGGGGGGGGGGGCAAGCATACATATAGATATGTATTCATAGGGGGTGACTGCGAGGGGGGGGCTGTGGTTGTGTGCGGGGATCGTTGGAAATGCTCACCGTGGCACTATCCTCCAACATGACATGCACTTATGGCCTTGTGTGGCTAAACGCTCGTCTTACATATCCCACTGCCAACTATCCTACAACATATGCACATGTGGGAAGCTCCAAAGCTACCACGGGCTGAAAAGGGGAAGGCCTGGCAGCTGAGGAGGGGGGATGAAGAGGAAGAGGCTCGCATTCAACCATACTCAAAGCTCACTCTGACTCATACGCAATCACTCGCATTAGGGGTCACTCGTCTTCGTCGGCCCTGTCGCCCACGTGGACGCGCTATTGTAGTCGACCGCTCACGAACAGACGCTCACCACGGCATGACATAAAACATGAGATACACATATGGGGAGCTCCACGCAGTGAGTAATTTAAATTTTTCCTCGAAAATCCCCCTGTAGGGGGACACGCCCGACTTAAGGCTACGGCCAGGAGCTTTGGCTCGGCATGTCGCTGCGGCGGTTCCGGTCCACCACGACTCGGCGCGACGCGCCGTCCCTCGGCGTCGCCCCAGCATACCTCTACTGCGCGCGCGTCGCCCCCCCCCCCCCCCCCCCTGGGGCGGCGCGCGCCCCGGGAAATCTCATAGTACACAGTCGGGGCCCTGAAGAAGGAACCCTTTTCGTTGGGGGGGGGCTCCGCGTCCCTTACGTGTTTCACAGCTTGCCTCAGGTTTCCCTGCTGTTTCCGATCGGAGATCGAAGTTTAACTCATGGAACAAGAGGGGCCTCGGTCCTTATTTCGGGTTCCTTGGGTCAACGCCCCGACTGTAGTGCGCGTGCGCCGCCCCCCCCCCGTGGGGCGGCGCGCGCCCCGGGAAATCTCGCAGTACACGCGTCGTGGCGGGCGCTTCCTGGCCCCCACCGCTCGGGGAGCGACCGGCTGCCAGGTGGGTGCACTGCTCGGGTCGGGCGCGCGCCTCCGAGGAGGGCATCTGCAGTCGGGGCGTTGACCTATAGGGAACCCTCAATAAGGAACGAGGCCCTATTTTTCAGAAGTTGAGCTTCGATTTCACATCGGAAGCCTAAGGAACAACCTGGGGCAAGCTGCGAACCGATGCAGGAACGCGGAGCCCCTCCCCAACGAAGAGGGCTCCTTCTTCAGGGCCCCGACTGTAGAAGTGGTATGCCCCCCTCCCCGTGCTTCCCTTCGACGCGACGCGAGAGCGACCCCTGGGCGAGAGTGGCCTCTGGTGCGCGGCCTTCGGGGGGCCCGAGGGTGCCGCGCCGCGCTCCGCGATCGGGGGGGGGGGCCGCGAGGAGCCCGCGCCAGAGGCCACTCCGGCGAAGGGCCCCTCTCACGTGCACTCGAGCCGGTCACCTCGGCGGCCCCCGTCCCCACTTGGCATCGCTCGGACGTGTGCATGTTTCCTGCGGCGAGGCCAATCGAGGACCATCCTCGACCATTTGGCGAAAGAGCCACGCACGAAGCCGAAAGAGCCTGGCCACGCGCAGAAGGGGGCAGGGGGAGGGGGGAAGGCTTCTCAGAGACACCCCTGCCTTCCTGGAAGGCGCGGGCCCCCTTTGTAGATGTAGGGCCGGCGCCTTCTGAGAAGCAGCCTCCTTCTAAGAAACCTTCCCCCCTCCCCCTGCCCCCTTGTGCGCGCCATCCACGTCCCCGTGCTCTCGAGGACAATCGAGGAGCATCCTGGAACATTTGGCGAAAGAGCCACGCACGAAGCCGAAAAAACCTCAGGGAATGGACGCCCGAGCGATGGCCAGCCCACGATACGCCGTCCACGCCCCCGTGCTCGCCTCCAGGGCGCCCCGGGTTTCTCGGGCTTCGACGCTGCTGCCGTGGAGAGCGCGACGCTCCCGCACACCAGAGATCCCTGGGCGCCCTGGCGTCGCAGGGCTGGGCTGCTCGTGGGAGGCTTCTCGTGGGCGGGCCCCCGCGGTATCCGTCGGAGGACCGCGAGGCATGCACGACAGAGCGGACGTCCCGAGCCTCTCCGTGCCACCCCCGCCCCGCGGAGCGGAGGGCGGCTTCCCGACCGCATGGAGGAGGAGGAAGAGGAGGAGGGAGGGAGGGAGGGAGGGAGGGAGGAAGGAGGAGGAGGAGGAGGAGGAGGAGGAGGAGGAGGAGGAGAGGGGAGGAGGAGGAGGAGGAGGAGGAGGAGGGAGGAGGGAGGAGGAGGAGGAGGAGAGGAGAGGAGGAGGAGGAGGAGGAAGGAGGGAGGAGGAGGGAGGGAGGGAGGGAGGGAGGGGGAGGAGGGAGGAGGAGGAGAGGAGGAGAGGGGGAAGGAGGAGGAGGAGGATCCCACGGACGACGAGACGACCGTATGCAGGAGGGGGAAAAGCACACAGACACAATCCATCGTGGATTCTCCAGGAAAAGATGGGAAAATGTTGGAAGTGGGGGGGGAGGACGAAAACCCAGGGAATCTGGGAAGATGTGGGAAATCCTCTCATCTGTGTTTATCTATTGGTGTGTCCCTGGGCCCCTTCACGTGAGGCACTCCTCGAGACCACGGCGACGACGCCGACGGCGCTGACGTCTCCAGCAGCGTCGGCGCCGGCACCGCGCGGGCGCCGCCGCGGGCAGGTGGGCAGCGAGGGCCGCTTCGGGTACAGCAGGCGCCCTCCGCGGCAGCCGCCCCCGGCCGTCGTCGCAGTCGTCGTCGTCGTCGTCGTCGTCGTCGTCGTCGTCGTCGTCGTCGTCGTCTTCGGCGCCCCTCCTCCTCCTCCTCCTTCTCCTCCTCCTCCTCCTCCTCGGAGACCTCGACAAGCGGCGCATCTGGAGATGGTCGGGCCCAGAGGCATCCACAACCACACTGCCCGCTGGGGTCCCAGGGCGTGGCCTTCACGCGCGCAGACGGGTACATGCCCGCCTCGAAGTCGTCGTCTTCGTCGAGGTCGCTGCCGCCGTCGTCGCGGCCGCCGCCACTGCCATCGTCGCGGTCGTCGTCGACAAAGCGGTCGTGATCGTCGTCGTCGTCGTCATCGTCGTCGTCATCGTCGTCGTCGTCGGTGTCGGTGTCGTCCACTTTTTGACTCAAGGCTTCTTAAGCGGCACGGTGAGGCGCTCCCATGCGTATCGTACTTGCTTTTCTTTGCCTGTTCCTCGCGACTGTTGCGATGACCAGGCGCGCGACCCGCGACGCCCACGGCGAGCTGGCATCTGTTCGCCGAGACCTACGGGACCTTCATGACATAGTGAGCCTGTTCTTGCAGACGAAGGGGGACATGGACGCGTTCGTACCTGGCGGCCCCACGTTCTACGGGAATGCATACAATCAGCTCCAGCAGCTGAACGTCTACGCCCCTCGCTTCCTTCCAGCTAGATCGTGGGCAGCCCCAGCCGACAACGAGAGCGTGACATAGACTCGCCTGGAGGAGTTCGTTTCTCACCGTGGCGCCCTTCTGAATAAGATGACATCCGAGATCGACCCTTGCCGAGGACAGCAACACGGACCACCCGGTGGACCCAATGGAATACGGCGACACCCTTGATCTCGCCGACCACGTGACGGACCTGGTGGACATTGACGTGGGTGATTGATTTCCAGATAGTGGGACTTTCGAACTTCAGCCCTCCGTGGCCACTTGGCTCCTGCACCCACACCCGATCCCGTCCGATCCCGAAGACCGATCCATCTAACCTGGACGTCGAGGATCCCTCCCAGGACACCCTCGACGAAAGCATCGACACCAACACGGACAACCCTTCCAACACGAAGGTCGGAGGTTTCACGCCCGCCAGAGACATGGAATGTGTGCAGGATGTGAATCACATTCTTAGAACGTGCTCCATCCAGGGAGTACATCGTTTATGCCCGCGTGGGCGCCGTTTTCCTCACGAAAAGCAACTTGCCCCCTCCGCTCAGCAAAACGGTCTTCATGCAGGTTACCGACCCTTCCTCGGCTCGCAATTGCGTGGCGGTCTTCCACAAGAATGGCATCCGCTCCCGTTGGCGGCCGTCGGTGATCCTGAGGATCCTCAGACACCTTGTTCGAGGAAAACATGATGCTGTCAGTGTACCCATCGGTCGTTGAAAGTAGGTATTTTTGGATTCCCAGATTCAAGTCTACTTTCAGCGCCTTCCTACTTCAAGAGTCGAGTGGTTTTCCCTCTTCCCTCCTCTTCAGGAGGCGGGCGGAAACCCAATCTATTTCCAACGCCTTCCTACTTCATGTTTCTACCTACTTCTTCCGACCAATGGGTAGACCTGAGCGCGAACCCGTACAGGCCGTGGCAAGTGAGCTCGTCGTGGTTGCGCCCGGAAACGCCATGCGCCTCCAGGCGCCCACAGAGGTTGAGCCCCACGATGAAGCTATGCAGATCCAGTATCCAGATCGCTGACCGAACGCCGACATCGACCTCCAGTCGGAGAGGCAGGCTTGGGCAGACCTCATCCGCTTGGTACACCGGCATGGTGCAGATACTATACAGGTATCCACCTCTGGCACCACGAATGGCGACGCTCCGTCTGGCACTCGTCAGGACAGCGGAGGACGGCCGAATGGCCCTGCGCGAGGAGAATGTTCGCTGCAAAGATATCGTACCAGACTTGCAGACTTGCGGAAGGGAGCTCTTCTCCTCGTGGACAGGTCCGTTTCCAACGTTGGCGCGTACGAGCACAACCTCGCCGAGCGTGCTATCGTCGACGCGGGTAACATAGTGGCCCAGATCGACGCCACCTCCGAGGGCCTCCGCCGAAAGCTCGTGATCGCTAATCTCCGTAAGGAACTGACGGAGCAGCTATTCGATTCTATCGTGTGCGGAGACGGGGAGACGACCCACGCTCGCAGGGGAGCCGGGGGGGCGCATTCCGCTGGTCTGGAGCGCGCCCTTGAGGCACGCATCATCTTATCCCTCATCATCCCTGCTTCTTCGTTGAGTTTGGGGAAATGGCCTGTCTTCGCTGTGCTTCCTCGGATGCGTTCATGGATTAAGGGCTTGCCATGAGAAGACGGTAGCGGCCCTCGGAACGTCTCATTTCCATTATGTGGGAGCTTGTGGATCCCACCTGTCGGTGGTTGGCCTGTATTGCCTGTGGCTCGTCCTTGTACATGTGCGCACGTCCCTTGAAGGTTATTGATTCGTATTTGCCCGCTTTCATTTTGCTGTGTTGGTGTTTGCCTGGTATCCCGAGCTCCTCCTTTTTCTCCCCTTTTTTTCCAGGCGCCTCTAACATGTCCTGATTGAGAAATCCTCGTACGTGTAGAACCATCGCCTTGTCGGCATTGGGCCACCCTCTTCGAGGCACCCGAGGGAGAGAGATGGAGAGAGAGAGAGAGACAGAGACAGAGAGAGAGAGAGAGTCGTTGTCGTCGTCGTTGTCTTCGTGCGCTTGCGGTGTCTTCGTCGCCCTCCGTCGCCGTTGCCGAGAGGGTGGGATGGGGGGGGCATGATGTGCCCGCATCTGTCATTTATTGGTTTTCCCATGTGTGCTTCTGACACATCTTACTTCAGAATGCTCGTGTCAGGCATCGCTTCGCATCGCGTCCATATTCGAACAAACCCTGAAGCCTTGAGCGCATGGGTCCTCATGCACAAACCGTGCGTGCATTCGCAGGTCTTCGCAAGTCTTCGGTCGTCCTTTCTCAGATTCTGTTCATACGTTTTTCTGCCGAGGTTGGTGGCGCATGCCGGTCGGCAAGGTACCCTGTACGCCTTTCCAGAATGTCTTCAGACAGGCCATAGGAAGAACACGATTTGAGCCAGCCAGCGGCTTCCAATTAGTGTGCCCTGGCGTGCGCGATATCTAGCATGGCGGGGATGCGTGCCAAAAACCATTTCCAATTTGCAGGTATTCGGAATGCAACGGGTTATTTCGGAAGGTTTCCGTGTGTGGTGTTTGTGGTGGCTCTGGAGGTTCTGGCCCGTCGCCGCTTTTGTTTTCTACGTCGGTTTCATCGCCGTCGTCGTCGATATTCGTCCTTTGTCGTTCGTCCCAAATCCTACCCGCGGGCGCGCCCGCACGCGGGAGAGGGGAAAAGGAACAACAGGAGGAGGAACGAGGAGGAGGTTTTGAAAGTGTCTGGGGGCTTCGGGGGAGTTCGAATGCTTTGTTTGATTGTTCTCCTGGGGTTCGGGAGGAGCGCGGCGGAGGAGGAAATGGAGGTCGCCGTCGTCGTCGTCAAATTGCGGTGTGGCTGAGGGTGGAGATGGAGGAGGCAGGAGGGAGGAGGGAGGGAGAAGGGAACACACGGGAGGGAGGAGAGAGAGGAGGCGGGGATGAGAGACAGAGGAACCAGGGACGAGAGAGGAGGGGGGGGAGGGATGGAGGGAGGGAGGCTTCCTCTCGCCCCGAGGCCGCTTCGGCCCGGGTCAGCCGGCCCCCCCGCTGGCCGTGTCGGGGCGCGCGCGGGGGAGGGGCCCCGCATGGCAGCGCCGGCAGATGTCTGCGTCGGCCGCCGCAGCGAACGAGGAGCCCGGCGTCCGGTGCCTCCGCCGCCGCTGCTCTTCCTCCTGCTGCTCAAGCGCCTGCTCCTCCTGCTCCAGCGCCTGCTACTCCTGCTCCTCCTGCCCCCCCTCCTCCTCCTCCTCCTCCTCCTCCTCCTCCTCCTCCTCCTCCTCCTCCTCCTCCTCCGATCTTTCTCTTCTGAATAAGTCCTTCCTGTCGCACACCGAGGCCGGTCGAAGGGGCGGGCTGGGCGTTCCGCTTGCGGCTGCTTCACCACTTATGACCTTGAAGCTTAGAAGTTGGCAACAGCTTCGTTCGATGCTCGTTCTGGGGACCTTCCAGGGGCCCACCTAACGGATCTGTTCGACTCAGGTTCGACTCAAGTTCGACTCAAGTTCGACTCAGATTCGACTCAGGTTCGACGCAGCTTCGACGCATGATCGACTCAGGTTCGACTCAGGTTCGACTCAGGTTCGACGCAGCTTCGACGCACGAGTGGAACGAGTGGTTCCAGGAAGGTCCCCAGAATGAGCATCTAAGCTTCGCAGATGGAGGCGGGTGATGTTTGTTTTAATGTGGCTCTCGCCTTAGCGCCGCCCACCTGCTTCCTCACCTGTTCTGGTCCTTGAGCTTGGAAGCTGCAATGCTTTAGCGTTTCGAGGGCGTGTCTTTTTTTTTAACTATGGGCTTCGCCTCTGCGCCGCGCACATGTGTTCTAAACGTTTAACAACATCACGGGTTAATAGCGGGTCGTCATCAACATGTTATTATTGTCTTAGCGCTGCGCACACTCGTCTTCAGCATGTGCAATACTTTCACGGATTGAGGGCGTCTCGTTTTTTTGATCGTGTGGTTCTCGCATTGGCGCCGCGCACATTTGTTTGAAATTATTGCATGGATTTCACGGTTTCAGGTCGGCCCCGTATACAAAAATGCACTCGAGAAAAACCCAATCAGCGGATGATTTCAAAACATAGTGGTACGGATATTGAGATCGATAGTGAGATCGATAGAGGAGTCGATCATTAGGAGGACAGTTTGGTCGATCATGAGACCGATCGTAAAGTCGATTCAGTGAGATCGATGGTGAGATCGTTCGTGCGATCTATAGTGAGACCGATTGTGAGATCGATTGTGAGATCGATAAGGGGATTGACCAGGAACCCGGGAACCCGGATACCCGGGAACCCCGCCGCCCGCAGAAGTCGGCCAGGAATCAGCAACCGGGAACTTTCGAACCCGGAACCGGAAACTTTGGAACCCCGCGGCCCACCGAAATCGGCCCCCCCATTTTCGCCAAATGCTTCAAGATCCGCTAGGACCCCGTCAGTGCAAGCACTGATTGGGGAGCATAACCTTTGCCTTAGCGCCGCGCACATTTGCCTAAAACATTTTCCAGAGTTTCACGGGTTCCCATGGTCAACGTACCAGAAAATTGCCTTGGAAGGATTCAGGACTGTGAGGGCGCAATAGTTGCGTTTATTCGCGGTGCTGAAGCCCCTGGAATGGTGTTCTGACGCAAACCAGGATCGTCAACACGCAACCGTCAGGTTGATTTGCGGCGTTGGAGTCTCGAGCATGGTGTTTTGGCACGCTTCAGGGTCTTCAAACGGTTGTTTCCCAAAGAAGCAGTTCCGCCAGAGGAAATGAGATTTAGTTTTGGGCCTACGAAGAGGGAGCTTTGAGGGGTCGCCGCTGCTCCTCTCACTGCTGGCCCTTCCCACGTCTCCCCTTTTGGGGGCCTCTTGGGCGGCCCCCGTCGCCACCGCTGGATTCGCTTCGAAATCTTGGTCAGAATGCATCCCGGGAGAGGTTCGGGGAGCAGAGGTATGGTTATTTTTTGTGGTCTCACCAGTATTCCCGACCGCCACACCCCCGAACTGGCAATCCAGGGGGTTGGGACTGGGGGGTGGGGGTGAGGATCCCTAGGCCCCAGAAGCGCATTTCCACCCCTAGCTCCGACCCCCGTGATCGCAGGTTCGGGGTTGGGGTCGGGACTGCGTGTGGGAGTGGGCTTCCCTCTTCTCAGAGGCGCCCCTCTGCAGGGCGGCGGCGAGGGCGACGACGTCGACGACGACGACGGCAACGCAAAAGCGAGAACGGCGACGAGAGCGGCGCTGACGGCGGAGGTGACGGCGGC